AATGTGTTTGAAGACACATATTGATAAAAGAAATCACAACTTGGGTTTATTGTTGTACGCAAAAATCTAAATCATTAAATGAAAACCCTTGCAGAAATGTGTCTTAAATGGCATCCTCTTTCACATTATGATACAGTTTAAGAAAAATGTTGCTATCAAATGTTTGTGGCTCATAACACTAAAGAGGGGCTTTAAATTTGCCAGATCAGGACAGTTGGCATATTCGGGAAACCATCACCTCATACTTTGGCAGCTAGGCGTCTGAATATGTAATTTGTATATCTAAATATGTATGATGAAATTACAGTTTTAAAAATGATAATAAAAATGAATTTGTTCTTTTGCTTGCTTGCCATGCTCTCTCGCAAAGTGTAAAAACTTGAAAGTTAATATTCTGGCATGAGACGTTAACCTCTCCCTCCCTTCGCGAAAAGGTGACCATGCGTCTATTGGTGTAGTCAGGCGCGTAGGCAGGGGGGGGGGGGGTTTGGGGTTAAAAAAATATGTCCTCTTACCCCCCCCCCCCCCCGCTTATTCAGCGGCTGGCTGAGTCGTTGCGAAATGTTTGGCCCGATTTCAAAATGTTAACCCCCCCCCCCCCCCCTTGAAAAAATCCTGCGTACGCCGCTGGGTGTAGCGTTTGGTCCTGTGTTGAAGTTCGGAATTTGGTTATTATGATTATAGAAGGAAAGTGATGGTGGAACATGTGACGTTCAAGCGAATATATAAAAGCGTTCTGATGAAAGTTTTTATATCAAACTGGATCAGGAATGGATATTCTTGGTATCCATACCTTCTCTTCTCCATAATTTGAATACTTAACAAGACATTGATAAATAAGTTATATTGACATACTTAACCAATATGGCATTATTCACCCCCCCCCCCCCTAAGGCCATCCAAAGCATTATGTAGACAATCAATGAATTCCATAATATGTCTCATGATTGTGATTGATTTGATGTTATCAATAAGATGAGACAGAGAGAGACAGAGAGAGAGACAGAGAGAGAGACAGAGAGTGAGAGACGCTCCATGTGCTCCAGCATTATGTATCTATAATGCTATCGTATATCGGGTACCGATTTACACATGGTTGGAGAGTGCCAAATGTGGATTAATGCCTGGTCATATGACGTTAGTGCCGGGCCGAGATTCGAACCCTCAGCCCTCTGCATGGGAGTCAATAGAACAACACACTATACCACGACACCTCCACTAAACACCTGCTAAAAGAGATTTTAAAAAAATAGAACGATAAGGAAATAGAGAATAAGTAGAAGAGACAAGGCTTAGCTATAGTATAGCGCTATAGATAGAGAGTGGAAGCAGATAGAAACGAATGATGGGACCAAAAAAAGGAGGCAGAGAGACAGAGAGATAAAGACACACACACGTACACACGCACATACGCACACACACGCACACACGCACACACGCACACACACACACACAGCGGAGAGTGGAGAGATTTTGTAGAAAGAGGGGGATATTTAACAATTCTAAACAATTTTATGTAGATGTTTTCCCTATAACAGAAAATTGGGCAAACACTCGGTGGACTACCTTGTGCCTTGCATGACGTCATCGCGACATGCAGCAATCGGGCCTTTGGAACGCCACGTACAGCATCGATTAAGGCCCGGTCACACAGGGAGGACGCATGGGGAACGCACGGCCAGCGCATTGGAAATTTGCAATTTGGGCTAGTGCGTTGTCGTTCGCTAGGCGTGCGTCATCATTCGTTACTCGTTCGTCGAGCGCGCTGGACCAACGCTGGACCAGCGCTATGCATGCGTCGTCATTCGCTGTGTGCGTCGGGATTTTTTGAGCATGCTCAAAAACGTGCGCCGAGCTCGACGCATGAATATACACGCCAAAGGCACGCCAGACATGCGCCGGAGCGCGCTAGACCAGCGCCAGACATGCGTGGAGCGCGCTAGACCAGCGCCAGACAAACGCGGAGCACACGCCCTGTATACGCACAGCGCGCTAGCTACACGCCGTGCATTTTGTGTCAGCTCGCTAGCTTTTCCAAAATTATGACAAAAGTTAGGCACACGTTCTTTTCCGATTTCCAATGCGCTGGCCGTGCGTCGTAGAACGCGGTGCATGCGTGGACCATTCGTCCAGCGCGCTAGCAACACGCTGCGCATTCGTGGAAGTTGTTTTCATGTGCGCTCTGTCTGCGCCCTGTGTGCGCCCTGTGTGCGCCCTGTATACGCCCTGTATGCGTCCAGCGCGCTATGCATTTGGTGTCAGCTAGCTGTATAGCTTCGACAAAAGTTGGGCGCACGACAACGCACTGGCCAAAATTGCAAATTTTCCATGCGCCGGCCGTGCGTCCCCCATGCGTCCCCTCTGTGTGACCGGGCCTTTAAGTTTAAAGAAAACTTTATAGCTAACGATACGTGGCCTCTGTCAGAAATAATCTATGCTTTAAAATATTCATATCTAATGGTATTGCAATTTCGTCTATATCACTAAAGTTTTAATCAACTCGTAATATATACGGTGTTCTCTCATAAAGAAACCTTTACAAATATATATGAAGACGTGCTTTGCATTTTGGCGACAACAGATCGAAATCGGAGCATTCATTTTCCCCCGAGGCAGTTACACTTATTGTTCGGTTTTCTTACATAATTGAATGCATTTACAATATTCATACCCACATTCTCATCTGTATTAATGTAGAGCAAATTTCTTTCTTGTTTTGTTCAGAATGACCTTGATCACTTACGCACTATGCCCCTTTCACATTGTCTCATATCTGCAGACAGTTATAAAAGGAACTTGAATTAAACTTTTAAGTCTGACCTTATAAATGATGGAGTATAAGATTGACCTTTCAAAGAGAAAATAGTATGAATTTTGCAAATGAAAATTGTACTATTTTGTATTACAGCAAACCCGTGATGTAAGACTGTGCTCTATCCATCTATCCAGTATTGGGCAAGTCGGCGAACGCCCCTTATTTGTCATTGTCCGTTTGCATTATACAAATCTTTAAAGTGGGCGTTCAGCCGCCCATGTTAAGCCACCATCAAGCGTTTATCAATTTTATGAACATTAAACATTCAACACGCCACTGCTAAGCCTCGAGCCATCGTTTATTATATATAAAACAAAGTTCAACAAAATTGTGTTATTTCAGAGACAGACAAAACTAAAATGACTTTTTAAACACATTGTCTATTTTGAGTATTGAAGACAAAGAGAATAGACATAAGGTGAAGATGATAATCCTATCATAATTCATTGGCTTGCTCTGCATAGGATAGAGCACGCAACGCGACCCTATCAACTTGTTAGCTCAACAAAATAAAACACGAATACTTATGGCTTCCAAGGTACATTCCGCTACCCCCTCTTGGTGGGGATTCCCCTCCCCTCTGTCTATTTTGTTTCTGGATACGTCATTATGTTTTATTTGAATTTCAGAGCGATTTAAGAAGGAAAAAAACTTGATCAGTCTATTGAACTTTCGTGCTTTTTTATTAAACATCCTCTGCATGATATTGCATACTGGTTAGAGACCTTTACGTTTCTCCGATGTCATGGTCAATTCATCTCATCCTCGACTACGTCATGGTTTTACAAGAAATTGCAAGAGGATAAGATTCATAATTTAAGAAAAATGTAAATTGTATCCGACTGGGGTCCCGAATGGTCAGACGAATGTCAATTTCGAAATTCCATGGTATTTCAAACCTTTATATATTGTAGAAGGAGAAGAGGTCAAATTAGATACCAGCCGGTTTAATTAGGTTACTACGATTCAAAGTCCCATCGCGATGATTCACATATACTCTTGGCCTTATTTTGTCAAAAGTACAGGGTCAGAGATAGGGTCGCAATTGATTTAAGGATAGGATTTGGGTAGGGGTTGGAGTTTGTGTTCGGTCCAGAAATGAAGTTAGGAGTTCGGTTAAAGTATGAAATTGAACATGGGGCAGCTCTCGTATGAGCATATGTCGTAATAACTCGCTCGAACCTTTCCTCAGACTAGAATGCTCATAATACCTTGCATAATCTGTTATAATGACTGTTAGGAATCTCAATCAGTAAATCTTCCTGCCGTGATGGTCATTATCTAACCATTGCTTACTTTTTGTATTGCATGATCCTAAGTGTTGTTGTATAAAATTGCATTTCTGTGAATACCTTTTCGTAGTTTAAACAACCCTTTAGAAAGATTTTGTTTTGAGAAACGGACAAAACTTAACAAATTAAGATGGCCAGACAATTTTCTAAAGTTCATGGTAATTACCGTTACTGCATGTTTTTAGAAATGGAAATAACTCAACAAATCTTTATACAATTCCATATCTAATTTATTTTTCTTTTTCTTTCGAAGGGCACTCAGGTGTGCTTAAGGTGTGCGGTTGTCATAAGTGTCCGGTTATCTTGTTCAATTCATCTCGTAATCTGAAGGGGGTGACATCTTATGAAAGGAACGACATCAAAGGAAATCAATTTTGTGTAATAACGATTTTGATACTGCCGATTGAACTGCCCAAGGCTCAATCATGAAGGCCAGACAATCTTCTAAAGTTCATGGTAATTACTGTCACTGCATGTTTTAAGAAACGGAAAAAAATCAACAAATTTTTATACAATTCCATATCTAATTATTTGTCTTTTTATTTTGAAAGGCACTTAGGTGTGCTTAAGGTGTGCGGTTGTCCGGCTGAAGGCCAGACAATTGTCTAAAGTTTAACAAACCATTTGTATTCATGGTAATTACTGTTACCGCATGTTTTTATAAACGGAACAAAACTAATCAAATCTTTATACAATTCCATATCTAATTATTTTTCTATTTCTTTCAAAATGCAGTAAGGTGCACTTAAAGGTAATACAAAGTGTTGGTATGGGGTCATGAATTTGGTTCAAATGAACGTATTGGAAGCATATGCGATCCTACAATATTCAGTGATCGTTGTCGCGGTTGAAATCGAGTCTAAAGTTATGAAATTGTAAATAATAATGTTTCAGTGAAAATGTCATTTTTTCATTTGTGATTTGTCTAGTAAGAATTTAGACGATTTTTCATGTATTAAGAAGTTTTCTTATTTTCCTTTGAGAAGATCACATGTGTTTCTTTAAGGACACCTTAGAATATCTGAGACCGGTACGTGGCAAAAGTAAGTCACGGCTAAGTTCAGAGCCACATCATCAAGTCAGAGAACGGACGTGTTTGTCCACCATTTTTGATGTAACAGTTTTGTCACAAATGTCTCCGCGAGGGGTAATTTGTGTTCCACGGTTTCGAGTAGATCCTGCCAAAGATGTACGTATTAATTATCAATTGGTTCAGAGGCAATTAAGCAAATATATAATGTAGAAATGTAGAGTTAAATGAAATGTAACTAACGAGCGTGGAATGTACGCAACTTGTATGGCCAGGTTTGGCGAGAGTATTTTCGGTCAGTTAGGTTAATACCATATTTGTCTAAATATGTGTGTTGATGTGCTTGTATAAATAATGCGTCAAATAATAGAGTTATTTGGTGGCATTAACAGTAACATTTGAGAAGTTTTTATTCTGGTTTTTGTTGTAAGAAACACTTCAATTTAGAAAGTGGGTAAATGAAACAGATGTTGGTTTTGTATCAATTTTACATTGATAGATGTTACACTTACAGTGTGAGAATATTTGGACTGAAGAGGTCATGATTGTATTTCTTTGATTGTAGTCGAAATATATAAGGACAGGTTTTTTGGAACAAATTAATAAACAGGCATTACTCAAGTTGAGATTAGAATGGATATTCAATCTTTATTGCAAATATTCATTTAACATTTAAAGTGAATTATAAGAAGTACATTTACATGAGGGCTAGGTATGTTTACAATTGGTAAATACAAAAAGAGGATTTTGATGCAAAGTGGTAAACTAAGGATATACCTGTTTCACAAAGTCAATATTTAATGGTTTAACAGAACGATGTATTGGTGATTAGCAATCGCAAGGCAATGATGCTAAGGATTTCTTCATCTTTTATTTTTCATACAGATTGAATAAACACTCGATTTATCGAGGACTATCCGATTCAACAGGACAAACTCGACTGAGCATTCCTTCTTTCCGTGATCCATCAATTCAATATCTGTAAAGCTGACCAGGGAACGGGAGAAGATGTCTGAGAAAGTAAAAAGGAGGACCGCCAAGGCCAAGCTCACAAGAAAGGAAAAGGCAGTCCGCCTCCAGATAGATGAGAATCGTCCTTCATCAGAGGTGAGCGACATGTTTGTAGAGTACCAACAGGCATACCACGAGCTTATAGGCATCCATGAAGTGTATGCAGCAACTATAGAAGACGATGCAACATTTGAGCAAGAAGAACAGTGGATGGAGAAATGTCAGAAAGATTTCTTAATGTTCCAGATGGATGTTAAGGACTATGTCCGTAAGGAGTCCCCAACTCCAGTGGTTGAAGTTCAGGACAGAAACAACCAAGCAGATCCAAACCCCCTACCTGATGACATTCATACATCCAGTGAAGTCAATCAGGCAAGCCCTCCTACGTCACATGTTAGACAGGTCAGTAGTTTCCAGCTGGAGAGACCCAAGCTACCTAAGTTCAATGGGGATGTGAGAGAGTATGGCATATTTAAATCAGATTTCAAACATCTGGTCGAGAGCAGGTACGGGAACAGGGATGCCATTTCGATTCTACGTACTTGTCTACAAGGACGTCCACTTGATCTGATTAGAGGTATTGGGGCTGATTATGAAGCAGCATGGGAGCATCTTGATTGCATATATGGAGATCCAAGGTTTGTGGCTGACGCAATAATGAACGATCTCCACAAATTCAAGCCTCTGAAAGAGAACGAAGATGGTCGTTTTTGTGATCTGGTACATATGGTGAGAAGAAGTTACAACACGTTAAAGGAAATAGGCCGAGAGAATGATATGAACAACAGTAACATGTTGGCCATGATTGAACGGAAGATGAACCCAGATGACAGAAGAGTATGGTTCCGCTATCAAGAGATAGACAAAGATGAACAGCAATCAGCTGTTTCCCTGGAGATGCTGCTAAAGTGGATGAGCGGAGAGATGAAGGCCAGAATGAGAGCAAATGCTCCCCTAAGAAGTGACAGTCGTCATGCAGTAGGGCACATGTCACAGACACCTCAGAGACAGCAATCAGAAGAAACTCTGCAACACCGTTGCTGGATATGCAAGACAGGAGACCATTGGGTGGACCAATGCAAAAAGTTCACATCAAAGACCGCACGAGAAAGGCTCCAGTTTGTTAAGGATCAACATGCATGTTTTAGCTGTTTGAAAAAAGCAGGGCGGAACCACTCAATGGCAACGTGTCGGAGGAGGCAGCAATGTCCGGAGATGAGAGATGGAAAGAGATGTAACTATTTCCATCATCCATTGTTGCATTTTGATTCTGAGGGTGCGACTGGAAGAAGCACAGTTGGTGTTGCTGCAGTGGACAGTGGAGAAGCCATGCTGCCCTTGGTTACTGCAGATGTTGGGCACAGAAGGAACATTTTAAGGGGAAATGTTCTCCTGGACTCTGGTGCGCAAATAAGTTTAATAAGAGATGAGTTTGCTGCTGAGCTGGGACTGGAGGGGATCTCGGCTACCATCACGGTAACCAAGATAGGCAGAGATGAGGAAACATTGACAACGAAGAAGTATAAAGTGCCCATTAGAGAGGTAAATAAAAGCAAAACAATAATGGTTACTGCATTAGGAATAGACTGCATAAGTGATGACGTAGCTGCGGTGAACCTGCCGGAGTTGGCCCAGAAGTTTCAACTGAGAGAAGAGGACTTGCAAAGAGGTAGTGGACCAGTTGATCTTCTAGTTGGAATAGACCATGCTAGACTGCATGCCGGAGAAGTTAGAGTAGTTGGCGGCTGTGCTGCTAGGAAGTCCGCTGTTGGATGGGTTGTATTTGGCACAACTCAGAGGGAAGCAGAGAACAGAACAAGAGTTCTTCATGTTAAGTTAGCAAGCCCAGTTGACTTAACAGATTTTTGGAAGATAGAGTCAGGGGGTGTTAATCCTACCTCCTGCCAGTGCACACAGAGTGGGCTTACCAAACAGGAAGCTGAGGAAGAGAGGATTATCAGGGCGTCATCACGCAAAGTAGGAAGACAGTGGGAGATATCATATCCATGGGATAAAGATCCTGATCTCTTACCCAATAACAAGTTCTTAGCAGAGAAGATGCTCTTTGCTGCAGAAAGAAAACTCAGAAAGAATCCAGAGCATACAGAAGCCTACAAATCTAAGATACAAGAGATGACTGAGATGGGATTTGCTAAGAAGCTAGAGAAAGATGAAATGACAACGTACAAAGGACCGGTACATTACATCAGTCACCACGCAGTAATCAGGCCAGACAACAAAAGCACACCTCTGAGAATTGTATTCAATTCATCTGCAATCTACAAAGGTCACTGCTTGAATGAGTACTGGAAGAAAGGGCCTGACTTACTGAACAACCTATTTGGAGTCCTCCTCAGGTTCAGAGAACACCCAGTGGCAATATGTGCAGATATTAGCAAGATGTATCACCGTATATTGATTCCCGAAAGAGATCAGCATGTACACAGATTTCTGTGGAGAGACATGAACCAGGAGAAAGAATCAGATGTGTATATGATGAAGGTGGTGACGTTTGGAGACAAACCAGCGGCAGCAATGGCGCAGATAGGTGTAAGACTGACGGCTGAAGAAGGTGAAGCCAAGTACCCAGAAGCAGCTGCAATCCTGAAAAGAAACATCTACATGGATGACATCTGCGATTCAGTAGAGACAGAAGATACAGCAAAGAAACGTATCGCAGAGGTAGATGAACTGTTGGAGACAGGAGGTTTCAAGGTTAAAGGTTGGCAATCAAACAAGCCACTTGATGGAGGCAACAAGCAGGAAAATATGAAACTCTTAGAGGAGATTGCTGAAGAGAAGGTGCTTGGTGTAGTATGGGAGAGACATAATGATACCTTCTCATACAAGGTCAAGCTACAAGAAACGGATAAAGAGACAGAAAAGCTGACTAAGAGAAAGATCTTGGGAAAAGTAGCAAGAATCTATGATCCTATTGGTTTTGCTGCGCCAATTATCATCAAGGCAAAGACTGGCTTACAGAAGCTGTGGCAGAGTGGTTATGACTGGGATGAGGAGTTACCTGATGGAGATGAATGGAGAGGATTATTCAGAGAAATGAGTAAGCTCAATGACATCAGTCTTGAGAGATGTCTGAAACCACAGAATGCCCAGGGGAGACCAGTCTTATGTATTTTCTGTGACGCTTCTGAGATTGCATATGGTGCATGCGCTTATCTGAGGTGGAAGACAGATGATGACAAGTATGAAGTGCGCTTCGTATCAGCCAAGTCGAAGGTCGCACCTCTCAAAGCGCTCACTATTCCTCGACTTGAACTGCTGGCAGGGGTACTAGCAGCTAGAATGCACGAAGCAATCAGCAATGAGATGAGGCTACAGGTGGAAAAGGTTGTTTTCTTCACTGATAGTATGATGTGCTCCAGTGGATAAAGTCATCTGCCAGAACATACAAGGCATTTGTATCAAGCAGAGTAGGTAAAATCCAGACACTAACAAACCCAGCAGACTGGAAACACATCCCTGGTGAAGTCAATATAGCTGATAAGGTGTCACGAGGTATAGCTGTAGAGAGGCTGTCAGAAGAGTGGAAGGATGGGCCCATTTTTCTGCTCTCTGACGAGTCAGACTGGCCTACAGACAAGGCAGCAGTGAATTGCAAAGGTGACATAAGTGAGGAAAAGAAAAAGTCCCAGTCAGTCTTCATAACAACAGAGACAGCAGAAGTGATAAATTGTAAGAGAACTTTGAGTTGGAGAAAGCTCCTGAGAACGACCGCATATGTATTCAGATTTATCCAAATCCTGAAGGCCAAGATACAGAAGGGACCCAAACCAGATGACAAAGTTACTCTAAGCCCAACAGAGTTAGATAGTGCAGAGAAGTACTGGGTAAAGAGAGCACAGATCAGTCTACTGCCCAGACTAGAGAAAGGAGAATTCAAGGTGCTCACTCCTTTTGTTGACGATGATGGTGTGATCAGAGTAGGTGGTAGAGTGGAAAACCTTGTGACGTCATACGAGTCGAAGCATCCAGCTCTACTTCCTGCCAGCCATCACATATCACTGATGATAATACGTAGCGCACATGAACTGGGACATCATGGTGTAGCAGTGACTACGGCCAAGACACGGAGAAAGTATTGGATACTCCAAGGTTACCGACTAGCTAAGACGGTGAAACATCGATGCGTGACGTGCAGAGCTGCAGAGTGTAGAAGGGAAACGCAGATTATGGCGAATCTGCCTAGCTGTCGATTGGCACCATTCACCCCGCCTTTCCATTATACGTCATGCGACTACTTTGGCCCATATTTAGTCAAGGTGGGTCGAAACAAGAAGGCCAAGCATTACGGCATCATCTTCACATGTTTGAATACCAGAGCCGTACATCTGGAGATGGCAACAGACTGTTCAACGATGGAGTTTCTCCAAGCATTACGTAGATTCATTGCAGTGAGAGGGCAGCCTGCACAGTTTCTGAGCGACAACGGGACGCAGTTTGTTGGAGCGGAACGCGAGCTTCGCGAGATGGTTAGAGGATGGAGCGAGAGAGAGCTCAAAGATTTTTGTGCCGAGAAACGTGTAGTGTGGAAGTTTGTTACTCCAGGAGCGCCTCATCAGAATGGTTGTGCGGAAGCCATGGTGAAAAGTTGCAAGTTTGCTTTGAAAAGGGCAATAGGTGAGCAAGTGCTCACACCATTAGAGTTGTATACATGTTTCTTAGAGGTCGCGAATCTTGTGAATGAACGACCAATAGGACGCGTTGGTAATGATCCAGATGATGGAGGTTACCTCTGTCCGAATGATTTGTTGTTGGGGAGATCTTCGAGCAAGGTGCCTCACGGTCCATTCCGTGAGACCAGGAATCCCAGACATAGAGTAGAGTTTGTGCAGCAAATTGTGAACTCGTTTTGGAAGAGTTGGAACAGAGACGTGTTTCCATTACTTGTACCACGAAGAAAATGGAACACTGAGCGTAGAAACGTCCGTGTTGGAGACATCGCGATGTTGGCAGACGCAAATGCAGTGCGAGGGAAATGGACTATAGCGAGGGTAGTTCAAGTGTATCCTGGGGTAGATGGTACAGTTAGGAATGTCAAAGTTAAAACTGTCTCAGGAGAGTATCGCAG